GTAGCTTTATTTCAAGCATCCAATGAGCATAAATCCTACTAAATAGGGCTTTAGTTGATGCCCTTCTTTTCTAAATCCATCTTTTTGGTTGATTGATCTCAAAGTTTGATCTTAAAATTCAAAATTTGATCTTAAATTCAAAATTTTAGATGAGTTAAGAAAGTATACAATAGTTTAAGTTTGTGGCTACGGCCGGCAATCAGGCTATGTGAGCTGAGCTCCGATTGGCTCAAGCTCACGTACCATCGGACCTCCTTACTACTGGTTCAAGCTTGACGCAATAGATAAATTTACATACTTCAAAATTTTGCAGCTGAACGTGTTGAAAAAAAAACTTTCGCAGCCGAAGAACAAATTAAAATCCAGACCCTTCATTCGAGGAAAATAATAGTTGATGCCCTTCTTTTCTAAATCTATCTTATTGTTTCTCTCTCTAATAATCTCTTCATAAAATTACAAGTATGGGTGCAAATTTGGGAAAGAACAATAATAAATTAGAAGTATTCAACCTAAAATGAGTGTGGTAAATCTATTTTATTTAATTTTCTTTTTCAAAATTTCTAATTGAAGTATTTTGAACCAAGTCAATGAACTCTCTCTCCTAATGTTTCTTATGTATATAAATTCAAATACAATCATAATATCATATGCATAAGCAAAACCAATTGTGTAACACGTTTTAAAAAAAATGTTTGCTACTATTTCTTGTTGAAATTATATTAAATTAAATAAAATCAAAATGCTTATTATTTCACAATTCAATTTTATTTTTTAAAAAAGGCCAAAGATTGAGGAGGATGAGCCACGTGACCACGACGAGAATATATACTTTGCTTGTGAAGAGAATTCGAGTGGGCCCCACTGTGCCCCGCCATTGGAGTGCGCTTTCGGTTTTTATACAGTGCTTCTCTCTCTCTCTCTCTCTAAAAAGCCCCTCTCTCTCTCTCTCTCTCATCTCTTTATCTTGGACCCAAAAATTCTCACAAATTGTCACGTCAGACATAGACTTCTACGAAGCCGTGATTTCTGACGACGCCCCAAACACCCAATCTCAGCCGTTGATTATTTATTTTTTCCCACGTGTGGGGCCCGGTGCTCCCTTCGGGCCTTATTCGTGGGGCCCGTTTCACATGT